GTTAAAAAAAGAGCAGGAAAGGTTTTTTTTCCTGTTCTTATCTTGGATTTCTGTTCTCAAGTAGAAGCAAAATTTAGCAAATGGAGCTGTTCTTAAGTTGGATTGTTCTTAAGTAGGGACGTTCTTAAGTAGAGACCCCACTGTACTCACCATCATAAAGCATTCTGGAATGGTTTATAAACCTAGCAAAAATCTAACAGAACAGCTATAACACATATCAAGATGCTAGTAAACAATCATCCAGGTATAACAGCAGAGTAGACAACTCTCATTATCCATTCTCAAAATATACACTAATAAAAATGGACAGATGGAACATAGCCTGATGCCTAAAACCTGAGAAGATTGGTACTAAGTGGATTTTTTCAAGGTGGATGTTCTTCATACAACGGATGAAGTCAGCAATACCACATTTTTGTTGTTGTTGTCACCTGGTGGATCTCTGGCAATTGTGGCACTGAGAAGACATCCTTGATAGGAAATCTTAACATTTGGGCAAGGAAATATGGAAGAAGATAGTCCATAAGGCTGAATCCTGAAAAAATGAAAACCTGTTTCTTGTATCCAGGAAGGAGCTTTATAGTTTATTCCTGATTGTGTTGCACTCTCCATAAATAGGAGTATCTTGGGCATATTGTTTGGGAGTTCATCCTCATCTAGCTTTGTTGTTTGAGTTTCAGAATGGCACAAAATACCTTTTAGTTCTTCAACCACAATTCGTAGAGGTAGTCTGGCCACTGTGGTTCATGTTAACTCCAAAAGGATTAATATTCTTATACCTGTTAGAACGTCCCTGTAGTTAACCTGGAAGCTTCCAAAAGTACAGAAGAAGGTTAGGGTTTTCAGAAGTGATTTACTAGTCCCTTTGGGAGGGGGTGCTCCAGGACTGTACAGCTTGCCCAAGGATATATAGGCTGTCCCTTTTCCTGGGAAGGACAGTAGGTGTCAAACAATTATTTTCTGGCTCCGCTGCCAAATATCCAACTCCCTGAACTACCCAGCCAGCTACAGAGTGAGATTGTCAGAATAGCAATACAGTGGACCCTCTACTTAAGGAATTAATACGTATTGGAACGGTGGCTGCAAGTCGAAAAGTCTGTAGGTCGAATCTCCATTGACCTACAATGCATTGAAAACCTATTAATCCCATAACCAGCGGTTTTTATTCTATTTTTGTTTCATTTTGGGTTTTTTCTGGTCTGTAGGTCGATTCTCTGGCTGCAAGTCGAATCTAAATTTTGCAGCCAGAGAAGTCTGTAACTCGAAAAGTCTGTAAGTCGAGGGTCCACTGTAGCCATAGAAAGACAGAATAATATTATACTTATTATGAGGGGCTGTAATTGGTGTGTGTTTGCTTCTCATTATAGTTCAAAGTGCTGCTTTTGATATCTTCAATATCAGAAACAGAGATTCCAATATCAGACTGGCAGTTTTTGAGGCCATCTGTTCAAAAAATCCCTGTTAAATGTAATGGCTGCATTTAACAAGCTATGGCTTTTGTTGAATTTTTATACAAATCTGACAAGCCATGATTTGATAATTGTACTCAAACTATGGCTAGAACCTGTGGTTTGTTGTTGAGTTATGAGCACTGGCTTGTGTAAACCACAGCTTGTAACAGCATCTGAACCTGCAATTGTGCTTTGTCTTGGACTTCTTTCCTCATCTACGGTGCTTGTTGAGAAACAAATCAGTGAAAGAGAAAGAGGAATGAATCAGAAGTGGGGAAAACAAACCATGCTTTGTTTGACATCTGCAGTGCTTAATGCACCGTCAAATCTAAAAAGCCATGATTTGATAATTGTACTCAAACTATGGCTAGAACCTGTGGTTTGTTGTTGAGTTATGAGCACTGGCTTGTGTAAACCACAGCTTGTTACAGCATCTGAACCTGCAATTATGCTTTGTCTTGGACTTCTTTCCTCATTTATGGTGTTGAGAAACAAATCAGTGAAAGAGAAAGAGGAATGAATCAGAAGTGGGGAAAACAAACCATGCTTTGTTTGACATCTGCAGTGCTTAATGCACCGTGATGTATGAATGTAACCAATGTGCCAGTGAAGGAGTGACTCTTCTTATCTATGGCATTCTCATTAGTTGCCTTACTGCTTCGTTCTATGTGTTTTTCTAGGCTGAAGACTTTGGGTGATAAATCAAGAGAAGCCAAAACAAGTAAACAGAGGTAATATTGGGTACTTTGACTTCCAAAAACATTGTTTCATAAGCAAAATATATTTAACAAATGAGAATAATTGCATGCCATTTACATGACATTGCATAAATACTATTCATTGGATCAGAGTATTAATAAAATACAGTGGATATAAAAATTTTATACACCCCTGTTAAAATGTCAAGTGTCTGTGATGTAAAAAAATGAAACAAAGATAAATTGTTTCAGAACTTTTTCCACCTTTATTGAGACCTATGAATTGTACAACTCAGTTGAACAACAAACTGAAATCTTTTAGGTGGAGGGAAGTAAAAATAAAAAGCTGAAATAATATGGTTGCATCTGTGTGCACACCCTTAAACTAATACTTTGTTGAAACACCCTTTGATTTTATTACAGCACTCACCCTTTTGGGGTATGAATCTATCGGTATGGCACATCTTGACTTGGCAGTATTTGCCCACTCTTCTTTGCAAAAACACTCCAAATCTGTCAGATTGCAAGGGTGTCTCCTGTGCACAGCCCTTTTTAGATCACCCCACAGATATTCAATCAGATTCAGGCCTGGGCTCTGACCGGGCCATTCCAAAATGTTAATCTTCTGGTGAAGCCATTCCTTTGTTGATTTGGATGTATGCTTTGGGTCGTTATCATGTTGAAAGGTTTCTCCTCATGTTCAGCTTTCTAGCAAAAGCCTGAAGGTTTTGTGCCAGTATTGACTGGTATTTGGAACTGTTCACAATTCCTTCTACCTTGACTAAAGTCCCTGTCCCAGCTGAAGAAAAAAAGCCCCAAAGCATGATGCTGCCACCACCATGCTTCACTGTGGGTATGGTGTTCTTTTGGTGATGTGCTGTGTTGTTTTTGCACCAAACCTAACTTTTGGAATTAGGGCCGAAACGTTCAACCTTGGTTTCATCAGACCATAACACTTCTCCCCATATGCTTTTGGGAGACTTCAGATGTGTTTTTTCAAACTTTAGCTGGGCTTGGATGTTTTTCGTCGTAAGAAAAGGCTTTTGTCTTGGCACTCTATCCCATAGCCCAGACATATGAAGAATACGGGAGATTGTTGTCACATGTACCACACAGCCAGTACTTGCTCCTTTAATGTTGCTGTAGGCCTCTTGGCAGCCTCCCTGAGCAATCTTCTAGTCTTTTCATCAATTTTGCAGGGACGTCCAGTTCTTGGTAATGTCACTGCTGTGCCATATTTTATCCACTTGATGATGACTGTCTTCACTGTGTTCCATGATATATCTAATGCCTTGGAAATTCTTTTGTACTATTCTCCTGACTGATACCTTTTAACAATGAGATCCCTCTGATGCTTTGGAAGCTCTCTTCGGACCATGGATTCTGCTGTAGGGTATGACTAAAATATGTCAGGAAAGATGTACTAGCACAGCTGATCTTTATTTGGGATTCCTCAGAGGCACTTTAAATGATGGCAGGGGTATACTGACTGCTACTTAAGTTTGAATGTGATTGTTTACTGCTGAACACAGCTACACCCCCAGTTATAATAGGGCGCGCACACAGATGCAAGCATATTATTTCAATTTTTTATTTTTACTTCCCACCACCTAAAATGTTTGTTGTTCAACTGAGTTGTACAGTTCATAGGTCTCATTAAAGGTGGAAAAAGTTCAGAAATGATTTATCTTTGTCTCATTTTTTACATCACAGGCACTTGACATTTTAACAGGGGTGTGTAAACTTTTTATATCCACTGTATATTGGCAGAATTCTAGTTTTTATTTTGATATTTACAAAAACATATTAAGGTTTTATCTTAATTTATTGTGCCAATTATTGCAAAATATAGAATCAGTCTTTAAATTAGTTGTTGCGATGGGAGCTGCAGTTGTAGCAATGGCCACTACACATTCCTGGATCAGCATTCTGGTGAAGCTGCTATATGTTTGGAGGATGTAATAGAATATGGGGGCCATTAGATGTCCCACCTTACAGTATCCTTGGGACCAAGCAAATGGAGCTGAATGTTGTAGCCATAGAAAAAGATTGATGTTATTGTTGGGGGGAGGGGAGGCCCCAAACTGACTTGTAACTTACTTTTGGAGCTGTGAGTTCTTGCGCATCTTATTTATATGTTCAGACACTAAAATTGTCCCCCAAGGCCCTTATCTGGTAACTCCATGAAAATATGTGATATGGTTGTCTCCAAGAGAGAGGGCCTTTTCTATCTGTGGAATACTTTCCCCAGAGACTCACCTGATGGTGCATTATTGAATTTTTGGTGCCAGGTGAAGACCTTTTAAAATTCTCTCTGGCATTTTCTAATTTTATTCTGCTACATATTTTAATTTTGTTTTATAAGCTAAAAATTTTGGTACCGTACTGCTGCTTTCATTTTTTAATATTCTCCTTCTTTAGTTGTTATTTTATTGTATTACGTAGGTTTTTTATTGCATGTCTAACATTATGGACCTCCCAGAGAAACTTCAGGTAATGGGTGGTCTATCAATGTATTAAATAAATAAAGATAATTATGAAAAAGATGAGTCTAAAAATTAATCTGAGAATGCTTCTACATTTTGGTTAATATTGTCCTTCAATTTTATTATAGGACTGTGCAAAGTTTGCCAGAGTTCTCTGCTGGATTAGTGCTGCTTAGTAGGTAAGTACCTCGTTGTAATTCTATTTCTGGGTTATTGTTTTTATTACATTTTGCTTGTGTATAATTTCACATAATTATCAGTTTACAACCACTCCCAGTTAGATCTATTGTTTAACTTGATTAGATAAGCTAGTACCTATGTTTCTTAGCTGAAATTCACAGTATGCATTTTTAGCTCAGATCTTTAGATGCCATGGTATTTAAGCAGATTATGGAAATTTGGAATTCTGCTAAGGCTTTTGTGAGGAAACTCCTCAGTACTAGAAATCTTTGTCACTTAATTTCAGAGTTTTAAAGCTTCAAAGCTATTATATTTTCTGGTCAATATATCTAAGTAAATATTCCTAGAACTGTACTGAGTCTATAAATTCTGAAAATATGCTTTTAAAAAAACTTGATCATCTCAGTTTTTTAAGTGAAGCAGTTAAAAAAAGCAAAAATGCTACAAATAAACTGCTGAATTTAATACAACAACAGTTATTTTTCTTGGCAACCTTGTGCTAAACCCAGTGGTTGTACTATTTAGTGGAGGCCCATTGAAATCAGTGGGACAGGTTAGGGTGTGACCATTGGCAAAAATGTGGGAAATGCTGTGGGCTTGGGACAGCCTGATTTGCATTTTTCCCATAGATCACATGATACAAAAGAAAAGACTAATCAGTCTGGAATCATCCCCACTCACCCTCCATCTCCGCCATTGGGGCTTCACTTTATTTTGAAATGGATCCATTCACGTTAGTTCAGATGGTGTGATTACTTGAATTGATGCAGAAAAGTGTGACTTGGAAGGGGCAAAGATCTACCCCTCCAGGCTGCAAATAATACAATTTTGTTTTAAAAAAACAACTTGTTGCCAGTGCTGATACATTTAGAGCATCTAAGGGGGAAAAAAGAAACAGAAAAGGAAAGGAAATCTGCACTCTCTCCTTGTTTACAGCCTATTACAGCTTATTAAGTAGCTCTTATGAAGCTGCACCACCTGCTGGCCTATAAGATAACTACATTAAGAAGTTGCAAACAAAGCTTTCCTGTGTGGCCAGTTAATTCAAACTGTCCCTGGTAAACTTTTACTTCCAGTGTGACTTCACAACTTGTGAATGTGAATGTGAGTGAACTCACATTTCTCTCACTGTTTAATCATACCCTTAATTGTGGTGAGCATATCCCATTCACTTTAAAAGACCAGCTTTGGATTTTTCAGTATATTTCCACAAAAGCAAAGCATTGTTAAAGCCATCGTTCTTCTTTACTGTAAACAAGTAGTCAGCATGATCAGGTGTTCTTGTCACCATTGTCTTAAGTATAACATGTAATCTTACTACTATATATTTTTGTGAAGGTACGAAGATACGTGGGCAGCTCTTCACAGAGGGGCAAAAGAATGTGCAAAAGCAGGAGAGGTAAAACATTTTCAGAAATTAATATGAAAAGCATTTATTTAAAATGGTTGTTGTGGGTTTTTGTTGTGAGGACAGCACTCTGAAGATGCTAGCCACAGAGACTGATGAAATGTTAGGAAGAACAACCTTCAGAACACGGCCAAGGAAGAACAACCTTCAGAACACGTCCAAAGAGCCCGAAAAACCCATAACAACCATTAGATCCTGGCCGTGAAAGCCTTTGCAAATACATTTATTTAAAAAATGGTTTGTAGTTTTTTTTTATTGAGGGAAGGTGATTCCTTTCAACTACATTAATTTTGTCAGAGAAAAAAATCTCAGTGAGGATCTCTAGTGACAAAATGGGGGCGCTTCTTCAGTCTCGTAGAGACTGTTCTTTCCTCGCAAACTGTTTTGTCCATAATGAAAAGGGGAGTAAAGAAGAGGCTTTCCATGGCTTCGCACTGGGGAAACGTGCATGGTACATGCATGTGTAGATGGCCCCTGAGCCACCATCCCGTGCAGCTTTGGGGCGGATTGAATAGAAAACAGAATATAGCAATATTATGAAGAACTATTACTGATGTTAAATTTAGTTGATTGTAATAAAGTAAAGCAAATGGTGTATTTATTAACTTAAGGAGAAACTATAGAGGCATTGCTGCTTAGAGGATATGGTTGAAGTAGTTGAAAAAATATTGGCGGGAATCCAGCTATTGTTTGTGAAAGGTTTGTGTAACTTGCCACATCTAATTGCGGCTAACTGACAAGGTACTGGAGTGCATCTTGAGTGCACAATTAGGCCTGTGACATCAGCTATGCAGCCCAGATATGCCACAGCAACTTGTCAACAAGCTGCAGTTAGCTGTTACACAAGTTACAAAAACCTTATGTAAACACCAATAGGATTTTGTCTAATGTTATAATTTTGATTTCTGTTTTGGTTTTGAAATTGAAAAAAATGTTACAAAAGATAATTGTATATAAATTGTGGTAGTAATGGCTGTAGATTACTTGTTAGCCTTTTATTCCTACTTGAGTATATCTGGTGATTGTGAACAGAAGTCAGCAGCTATCAAATCATACATAATACTCTAATATGTGGCTGTCATAGCAGCAGTCTGCTTAGATGCTTGAAAAGATGGTACATGTTTCATAATGATGATGTCTGGTTGCAGCTGATAGATAGTGAAGTTGTAATGCTTTCTGCCCATTGGGAGAAAAAAAGAAGTAGCCTCTTAGATCTTCAAGAACAGCTTCAACAAATTCCAGTATTTTTAGCAGATTTGGAATCCACAACAGCTGGCCTGGGTAAGTGTGTTTCCTTTTTCTTCCTCCAATTAATTTTATGGATTTATAACTTAGTTTTTAGAAAATATTCTTAAAGGCATATTTCAAGAAATGTAACATATTGTAGTACTGCACCAAGACAAAAGTTTGCTTTTTTGCACCATGTCTGTGGTCACTGTCTAGGGCAGGGGTTTTAAACTCAATTTACCTGGGGGCCACTAGAGACAGAGTCTGGGTGAGGCTGGGCCGCATCAGATTTTCCGCCAAGCGGAGCAAGAGCCCGAGGAAGCCGCCCAGGAGTTTCCTTAGCCGACAGACAGGTGGGCTGGCTGGCAGGCTGCAGTTCTGGATGGAGGGTGCAAGAGGTGCTGTCTTGGGAGAGAGCCGGTGAGCGAGGCAAGGCTTTTTTTTAACTCTTGACAGCAGAGAATGTGTGGGCGCTTTGGGGGGGGCAGGCAAGGCGAGGGCCACAAACTATCATCTGGGGGGGCCGCAAATGGCCCCTGGGCCGCATGTTTGAGACCCCTGGTCTAGGGGATACGGGAGCAGAAGTAAAAAAAATTTTTTTTCCAGACCTTCTTGGGTTTGTAAGCCTAAATGGATGAGATAGAATGGTCAGTATGATGGTGATTTTTTAGATCAACTTTTGGATAACTCTCCCAGTGACTTCATATAAAAATAAAAAGATGTGGGACACACAATGTATCCCTGTGGCATCTTCAGGCCATGAGTAGTAGCTCTTTGGCCCTGCCGTCTGGAATTGGTTTCCCTCCTGAAAGGTGCCAAGGCAGAACAGAGTCTGCAGAAACCTAATTTGGAGAGCCCTTCCAGAAGAGTATGATAATGTAGATCTGGCAAAGTGTGGCCCCCTAGATGTTGCTGGACCACAGCTCTCTCCTTCAGCCTGTACACTTGGTGAAACACCATTTTGAAGGCTGCATTTTGGCTAGCTCTACTAAAATGGTGCTGAAGCCAGCTAAGTGAGCCAGTAGAATCAGCACAGTTGCTCTCCTTCACCTTCCAATTAGGGTCATCTATTAGGATTATTCAGCTTTCTGAGACATCACTCCTTTTAATAGTGAATTCGTGTTTAGTAGGGTAAAGTGAGGTCACTGGAAAACAAGATGGATGCATGGTCACATGGGGGGGGGAAATCTCAAGTATTGCAGAAGTATTGGAAGAATTGTATGTATGTGTGTAACCCAGAATAGTCCAGTGAGGGCTGATCGTGCTTAGTAGCCATTGAATATGCCTGGTGTGTTGGCGGAAAACTAAAACTGGAAGAGAGAATCCTTGAAGGCATGGTGGCTAATTGGCTATGCTTCACATTGCAACATTTTTCTGTGGGTTGAAAAAAATATTTTGATGCGACAGAAAGGTTTATAAGCTAGCTATTTCAGAGATTTTAAAAATTCTGTTCTGTTTTCTGTTACGTTACTTAAAAGCAAATGAGAATCCTAGAGTGATTGACTTATATATTCTAATATTTTAGCAAGACGCCTTGTTGTATTTGTCTTTGTGCATTTGGATTTACTCTTCCTCCAGGTAACTTAAAGTGGTTACTAGGAGCATTCCTGAAAGCTAGCATAAGTTGCAAGAGGATTGACCTTGCGATTGCATAGTAAACTTTATGTCTGAGCATTCTTTTGAAGAGCCTCATGGCGCAGTGGTTAAACTGCTGTACTACAGCTAAAACTGTGCTCACAACCCAGGGTTCAATCCCAGGTAGCCGGCTCAAGTTTGACTCAGCCTTCTATCTTTCCGAGGTCGGTAAAATGAGTACCCAGGTCACTGGGGGGGGGGCTATGTGTAGCCTGCATAATAGCCAAAACTGTGTTCAGACCTGGGGTTCAATCCCAGGTAGCCGCCTCAAGGTTCACTCAGCCTTCCATCCTTCCGAGGTCGGTAAAATGAGTACCCAGATCGCTGGGGGGGAGGGACTATGTGTAGCATGCATAATTAACTTGTAAACCGCCCAGAGAGTGCTTGAAGTGCTATGGGGCAGTATATAAGCAGCATGCACACACACACACACACACACACACACACACACACACTCAAGACATCATGTCTAGTTTAAGTAAATATTTATTGTCAGCAACACTTAATAAACAAAAGTGGGCTCCTTAACAAATATATCATAGGATCAATTTATAGAGTGCTATTGTCTCCCCACTTCTAAATTAGATAAATCTAATAAAATAGGCTACAGCTCACAGAGGTTCATGCTATAATACATTTGTCAATCTTTAATAAAGTAGAAAAGACTCTGTGCTGCAGCAGACTAATGTGCCTACCCTTTTGAAATTAAATAATCTACCTTTGAATCACCCATCTTGAAGTTAAACTATGTGTTGAGCTAAGGAGATCCTGATGTCTTTCCTAATTAAATGCAGCTAAAGAGAAGGGGGGGGGATAAAGTTGTTCAAATATTCCTTTGCGCTTTTAATCTTCCTCATCTTCCTGCAAGCTGTATTTACTATGCAAAGGAAAAATATTCAGGCATGATTACATCCATCTTTCTCCTTTCTAGGTCAAATGACAACTTTTGGTGGGAGGATGTTGGGAAAATAATGCAGGGAATAGTGCCACCCCTTCTCTGTACTTTTTTCCTAATCCAGTTGATATCACCTTACAGAACAATATTCAGTGTTTTTTTCTGTTTTTGTTAGAGTTTCTACGTCTCACATTTGTTTAAAAGATCAAATAGATCTGCTGAAATAATGTGAAGTTTGGCCCTCAACGTAGGATTTATGCTGCTAGGAATATCACACTAAATCCAGGTCATCTGGGAGAATAAGATCAAATTGCATCATTACTGACTAGAAATTTGGGCTGTGTCTTACAATGGTGTTGGTTGTATTTTGTCTTTGTAAAACTAATTTAACTGCATTGCAGTAATACAGCTGATGTTAATGGTTATTGCAGCAGTTAACAAATTTACTACTACTTGTAAAAAAAAGTCTTTTTTTTACAAAGTACTTACTGTGATATGTAAGCTAAGAAAGCTACAATACTTGAGAATTGAAAAGCGCATTGTGGATAGAAGAATACAGGGACTTCTAATCATGTAAATTAGCTGCCCACTAGGGGATGCTCAATGACTACTTTTCCAGAAATTAGTATATGGAATGGATAGGTAACCATATTTTATTTTCAGATTTATTACATTGACTGAAATCCAGTAGTAAGTAACAACTAGAGTAGCCCCATTGAATCAGTGGAACCTTTCTACAGAGGTCTTATTGCATCTATTTAAAATTTGTTGGCTTATTTCAATGAAACTGAAAGAGATGCTAGTAAGATATCTATAGAAAAAGGTTTCCCTGAACTCTGCCATTTTACTGAGTAGTCTCCATTTTGGAAAAGGTATTGGAGCGTGTCCTGGCATTTTAGTTCCAGATGCTCCTGAATGGGACGGATCTTCTATACCCAATTCAGTCTAGCTTCAGTTTTGGTTATGGGAGAGAGATAGCTGATGGATGACTTACATGTGGGACTGGATAAAGGCAGTTATATCTCTATTGGTTCTGCTGGACATCTAGTGGCCTTCAATAATGTACCATTATATTCTCATGGACCTCCTCTCTAAGGTGGGTCTTGAAGGCACTCTTTTACAGTGGTTTTAATCCTTCCTAGAGGGATAAGTTTAGGTGGTGGTGTTGGGATGAATTCCTGTCCAGTGCCTCAGTCACTAGCCTTTAGGGTCTGTCAGTGTTCTGCCTTATCGGCTCATGATTTTCAGTGTTTATGTTACGTTTCTGAGAGATATCAGGGTTCAGTGCTATCAGTATGCTGATGAGACTCAACTTTATTTTTGCTTTCCATCTAAATCTATAGAAGTTGTTTTAATTCTAAACCAGTGCCTCATATTGGTAATGGGCCAAGGAATGCAAATGTAGTACAACCCAGAGAAGACAAAGGTGATTCTGGTCAGTCAAAGGGCAGATCAGGGAAGAGAGATTGAAACTTCTTTCAGTGAAGTATTACACTCACCTGGAACTCTTAGATTCACAGCTTGGGTGCACTCTTGGATTTGGCTCTGAGCCTGGATGACCAGGATTTGACAGTGGCCAGGAGTGTGTGTGTGCAGTTCAGGCTAGTGTGCCAGTTGTGCCTCTTTCTGGAGGTGTCTGAGCTAACTATGCTGAAACTTGCTTTTGTTGCATCGTTTCAGAACTGGTATAATGTGGTCTCCGTAGGGCTGCCTTTGAAGACTGTTTAGAACCTTCACCTGCCCCAAATTTTGCAATTGTTGACAGAAAGCACAAAATGCCTTTGTTACAGCAGCTTCGGTGGTTATTGATTTGGTTCTTGGCACAATTTGAAATCCTACCTTTAAAGCTTTATATACCTTGAGCGCAGGCTATCTGAAAGACTAAGTCATCCCATATTAGTCTGCCCAGGAGAGGCCTTTCTCTAGGTCTCACTGCCCACAGAAACTTGCTTGTTGCGCATGTGAGAAAGGTTTTTCATTTGCTTCAGGTTTTTACTTAGAGCAACTTAGATGATAGACAACTATGGAAATGTACTTATTCTAATATTTGAATGTTTTATTACATAGTTCAGTTGGAAGCGAATTTTAAGGAAATGGAGAACCATTTACTGTATCTTGAAGATCTCTGTGAACAGTGCGAGTTGGAAAGGTACAAGCACATGCAAGCAATACAGTTGGAAAATTACAAGAAGACTAGAAGGTAAGTCTGAAAATACAGGCTGGGATCCTATTGACATAGCTATACCTGCAGAAGGGTGATGACATCACTGGTAGGAAAAAATTTTGGTAATTTGAAATTTCCTGTTTCTGCACTGCAGCTTTTCGAGCTACTATGTGATATCTTCCATTGCATGAAAACTGCAGAGTGGAAGGAGGATGTCTTTAATTCCTAAAAATCTGTGCTGCTGGATGATGCTTGAAAGATTTTTGGTAAGCTTTTTACCAAAATATTTTTCATAGCTTCCAGGCAGCGAAAAAGATTATACAGAAGAGATTAGTTGGAAAAGCTGTGGAACAGAAGTAGGGTGCTTTACTGAAAATCATCCCTGGCTAGTGACATCATCAACCTTCCACACGTGTAAGTTATGTGACGGGATTTCAGTCGCTAACATGTTAACGTTTATATTTGATTTTAATTGAATAAATCCCTTCTGTTTGATATTCAAGCATAAGTTTCTCAGTGTCTTTCTTTTTCCTTTCTTGGGTGTGTATAGATTCAGAATATTTAATTGCATGAAAAGGAATTACAACATTTCTAGTTAACCAAGAGATTCTGGCTGCAATCTTGCATACTCTTACCAGGGAGTCAGCCCTATTCAGTCACTGGGACTTTCTTTTGAGTAAACATTTTAAGTTTATGCTGCACAATCCCACTAATAATCACACTAGAAAAGGCTTCATATATTTTGGATTTTCATATTTTATTAATTTATCTTTGTCATATTACACATCTTGTCAAAATTATTCCAGTGTAGTAAAGGTATTACATAATTTTAGTGCACTATTTCTTTGGCATAGATAACGAATTAAATATTGCTAACAACAGCAGGGACCAAGATATTTCTGTGCGACTAAATAATACATTTGCTCATCGTGTTGTCACTCAGTGCTTTGGAGATATTACGATGTCTAGTTCACTGCAGGTACCTAGTGAGGATAACATAACATAAATGACTGCTGGAAATATATATGGATCAGCTGGTCACAAGTTAGTCCAGCTTGATTTTGATTGTAAGGATAGTTGGAATTGGAACTGCAACGATGACATATGATTTTTAAAAGGTGTCTTCTCAGAAATTATGTTGACAGATAAGTGAGATCACTTTCATTAGTAGTCTTACAATTTGTGCTGTCAAATCAACTCCAACTTATGGCAAATCTTTCCAAAGTTATTTAGGTATCAAGTAATCATAGGTGGTTTACCATTCTCTTCTCCTGGGGATAGTCTGGGATAATGTAGCTTGGCCAAGGCTACATAGGCTGGCTCATTACCCAGGAGCATAATCAAACTACTAACCTCTCACTCTGCAGCCTGGCAACCAACACATTGAGCTATGCAGCCAGCTAGTGGTCTTATATCCTTTGAAAAAAGAGTTGGAGGTAGAAATTGCAGTCATCACAGGCAAAGCAGAAAAACATCTTCAGGATTCAGCTAGATAACTAAAATTTAAGGAAAAGAGGTTTTTAAAAATTAGAAAAATGTATAAAGACGTGCACATGCCTTTTATTTTCAAAGCCAGATACAGTGGGGTCTCTACTTAAGAACTTAATCCGTATTGGAAGGTGGTTCTCAAGTTGAAAAGTTCTTATGTTGAATCTGTATTTCCCATAGGAATGCACTGAAAACCATTTAATCCGTATCTGCTCTTTTCCGTCCATAGAAACTACAGTGGAACCTCTACTTAAGAACTTAATCCATTTTGGAATGGTGTTCTTAAGTTGAAACGTTCTTAAGTTGAAGCAAAATTTCCCATAGGAATGGACTGAAAACCAATTAATCCGTTCTGGCTGTTTTTTTGTTCTGCAGAGGTGCGTTCGTACACTGAAGCATTAGTTCCCATAGGAACTAATGCAAAGCTGGTTAATACGTACTCTACCACTAGGGGGAGAATTTTTTTTTAACCTAAGATGACCTAAAGTTAAAAAAAGAGCAGGAAAGGTTTTTTTTTCCTGTTCTTATCTTGGATTTCTGTTCTCAAGTAGAAGCAAAATTTAGCAAATGGAGCTGTTCTTAAGTTGGATTGTTCTTAAGTAGGGACGTTCTTAAGTAGAGACCCCACTGTACTGTTGGACCACAGTTCTCATCAGCCCAGCCCCACTCCTATCAGCATAACTATGAGGGATAACATTAACTTTAGTTTAGCAAAATCTGGAGGGCTGTATGTTCTCCTTTATTGCTATATGGGGAAGCACTTGCTTCTGTGACTAGCTTGAGAGGAACTGTACCTCCTGCCTTCAGAAAGAAGTAAAGAGCAGCCTTATCCTTTCCATTGATTAGAGAAGTAGTAGTTGCAATTGCCCCCCTACCTGATTATCCATAAAGACTTGGTTCCAAAGTTTGGTTTCCCTGGTGCTGGAGAGCAGAAGAAAGGCATGCTCTGTCCACATTAATCAGCCAGAGGACCAAGGGCTTCTAGTTGTGTATGCGTTTGGAGGTTTTGTATTATTACGTGCCTTGTAAGCTGCATTAAGTATCACTTGATGGGGCATGTGTGAGTAATAATCTTTAAAATAAATGAATATGCAGCAACCAAAACCCAAGAGTGTGCATTGTCAGAGAATTACTGATCAGATATTGCTAATTGGAAGAATGAATGGTAATAAAGATGACACTTCCTCTTTACACTATTTCCTTAGATGTTTGTGTTGCTAAAGGAAGCTGTCTAGAATTGTAATGTCACCTCACATTGCAGCATATATTCAGATACCAAATAAATGAGGCTTTTTCCTCAGTCACTCAGTGCCTCTAGTTCAGGTGTAATGTTTCTGTTTCAGTACACTGCAGTTTGTTGGAGCACAAATAAGTGCAGATTAGTTAATTAATTAGAATTGCTTGAGGCATATAATATAAATAGTAGCAAAATAGGGAGGTAAAAAAGCTTTTGTTTGAGTTAGATGGAGACACACTGATCCAAGGCTTCTGTTGTAAGCTGTGTGAATAAGCAGGGATTTGAACCTTGGTCTCCTAAGTCCAAATTCTCTATCCGTATTTGCTTCTGACCTTATATATTAACTATTACCTCCAGGATGCAAGCAGTTAATCTATGCACATATGCAATGTACCCTCTAACTTTCAGCTCTGCTAGGCGGGGCTCTGCCTCTCTTGTGACTTTGCTCCTGCATGTGCCCTTAATTCCTCCCCAGAGTGTGTAGTGTTCCATCATAACTGGAACCCAATCCTATTGCTGCATGTAGTAGAAAGACAGTTGCATGGAGGGAGGTAGAGGTGCATGCCCATGCACACGCACCCAGCTTAGAGGGAACTTTGCACACATGGATTATTCATTTATTTCAAGTTTTAGTTCAAACTAAAGTCTTTCTTCCTTGCCTAGCACTCTTTTATGGAAGATGATGTTCTTTAACATTTTTGTGCCTTTTGGCAACATTTAGAACTTGGCATTGCTCTGTATTCAAGCTGTGTATTTTCTAAACATAGGAAATAGAGGTCATTGTATGATGTAGCATAGTTTTTTTTAAAAAAAGCAGAATCTAAGAAATAAACTCCTTTCAGAATTTTCTTACAGGAATGGCAGCTTCTTAGAAGACTTCTGTCAGAGAGAATGTCATATGTTAAACATTGTCTTGAAGCATGCTAGAATTGTTTACTATTAACAAGAGAAAGTGCATATAAAATACAAGTAAAGGGAATGTTACATTTTATGTGAACATGGAAACTCTGCATCTGTACTCTAAGTAAAGAGTTGTTCAGATAAATTTTGCCTTGATGGAAAACATCTCTTGGTGGATGTTTAAAAATATATATATAAAATAGTAGAAATTAGAATTTTTAGAGATTGATACTTCTGAGGGCTTATGTCACTCTTTATATTTGAAATGTCCCTATTGTCATAAATTTGGTTTCCCTTTTGGAGGTTTTTGTGTATGTCAGTCAGTCACATGTAAAATTTTCAGCCAGTAGCAAATTCTAAAATCAACAATGGAACAACACTAAATTATTGTGCTGATTTTACTGATAATGATTAGATGCGACATCTAAAGCCTAAATCTTTTCAGAAGACATTCTTTTATGTCTTGGAGTAATGATTTATATTAGTGCTCTTGCAAAAGTAAGAGACAGGCAGACAAAAATTGCCTTTGGGTTTTTAACCATTTTTTAAATATATAGATACTCATATAACACTTCCTTTCTACTTGTCTCTTGGATACTGAAAAGGAAATTGCAAAAGACCATTGTTTCAGGCTGTCTGATGGTGTTACTTTTTTCACAGACAAATCCAAAGTTTCCTACTGTAATTTTGTTTTTTGCTCTCTTTTCTACCTTTTGTATATTTGATGCCTGATTACCTTCCTGCCTCAAGGTTTTCATGTTTTTTTCTAGCTACTCTTCTATTTTTTTGATTTATTCTAGCACAGTTTTTACTGCTTGAAGTGCTTGCTGTGCCTCTTTTCTCTTTGTTCGGGGTTTGCTAGCCCCTTGCTATTTTATTTGTACGGGCTTTCTCTTTCCTCCTGCCCTCGGGTACCTCAGCAGATCCTTTTGGTTAGGTACCATATGGATGCTGATGGTATCAAACTGAATCTCAACTTTCTACCTGATGCTGTTGTTTTCTCTTCTTGAATACCTGTCTGTCTTTCCACTCTGATATTTCATCACAGGCTCAAATTAACATGTCAAAAATCAAGAAACTTCTGATTCTTCCCAACATTTTTTTCTTTGATTACTGTCACTTTTTATCAACAGTGATCTGTCAGTACAGCACTGTATCTCCTAATCTGTCTCTCAGTGTTCCTTCACCAGACTGTCTTTTAAGGATTAGTTTGTGTTCATTGCTCTTTACCCTTGCCTTTCAGCTTTCATAGTAATACCGTGTTTCCCCGAAAATAAGACAGGGTCTTATCTTAATTTTTGCTCCAAAAATGCATTAGGGCTTATTTTCAGGGGATGTGTTATTTTTTTCATGTACAACGATCTAAATTTATTCAAATACAGTGTGAGACAGGGGGTGAGAGCAGTAACCCTCTCACTGGAGTGCCGTTCCCTCCCCCACACTGTCGAGAAAGAAATACAGACCCTACCCACTTCATCCCCCAAGAGAACAGAACAGTGAGGGACAGATAAACAAGAGTTAGAGAGAGAAATACGAAGGTTAACGGTTGAAGGAACTCAGGGGGGTATGGCAGGAACAGAATAGAAGGAGAGGGTGGAGATAGAGGCGGGAGCAGCAGATATAAAAAGGAGGGAGGAACAGTTGCCTCCAGGCTGGGAATAGATCTGGATGGAGGATCCCTGGATAGGAGCTTGGAAAAGCTGAGGGTACCCAAAGAAGAGGCTGATTACAGGAGAAGGAGAGAGATTCCCCCTTGGCCTAGACCATCATATTGGGGAGAAGCAGAAGCCAGGGAGTGGAGACGAAGGCTGAGAGAGGAAAAGGAGAAGGGAGAGAGAGAGAGAGAGAGGAGAGAGAGGTTGGAATGGGGAGTGAGGGAAATGTGGAAGAAGGACTACCCTGGAAGACCCCCACACCCGTTGGATGCTCCGTGTGGGTGGACGACCGGGATGAGGACACCGTGCCCCTGCTGGAAGGTGAAGTGGGAACAGCGGTAGACCAGAACTTGTCTATAGACTGGAATGCCGGTGAAAAGAACCCGTTCCCAGATGAAGAATGGAAGCCCCTGACTGACCCATTGTCAAAAGGAGAAAGACATTGGGATAACTTTGTTGACACTGCTTATTTATTAAACACTTCAATAAATCTTACTTCTGTTCCTAAAGTGCAGAAATTTCCTGATTTATTTGAACAAAGAAAGGACCCAAAAATCGAACTGTCACATACAGTAATGTCATCTTCTTCTGGTTGCTACACAGTGGTGTATAATGGTGGATGGCCGGGTTTCACTTAACTAGGGCTTATTTTTGAATTAGGGCTTATATTACAAGCATCCTGGAAAATCACACTAGGGCTTATTTTCAGGTTAGGTCTTATTTTCAGGGAAAGAGGGTAAGTAGAGGTGTTTTTTGAAAAGTGAAGTAATTGCTATTTTCATGACAAAAATGTTCAGACTTGCTATTTTGAAGGTCTTTCTGTGTGTGTGTGTGTGTGTGTGTGTGTGTTTGAGAATGTATTTACTGTATTGTGACATCTCTATTCATTCTTGTGACATGTAAGGAGGGCATTGGTTAGGTGTACATGTCTATGAATTTAATGTATACTTTGAAAGTGTCCTTCCATCCATTGAAGACAGTACACATATGCATACAGTGGCAATGTCTTGCACAGATACACACAAGCAGAGTAAAATCTATTTGAATAACAACATGTTTTTGTTAAAACAATGCATAAAATATCTGGCAGCTAATGTAGCTGTCATTATTAGACTTCTAGACAGCATTTATGTTGGAGTATGTAGTCTAACAGGACCTTCAGGTGTGTGAATTGTTGACCCTGGCGCATACGGATAAGTTTATCTTGCTGTAGTTTAGTATGTTTTTGATATTTTATATTGAGTGTATTCATTATGAGACTTACATGATTCTTTATACTTTCACTGCTCCATTTTTGGCTCAAAATTGACAGCAGCAAAAATAAGAAACCTGTTTAGGAGCTGGACAAATGAGTAAATAATGTCAGTTCTATTATATTGATGCCTGCATAGATTAAATGATTTTCTTATTCATTCAGAGCAGTTTTTGAAACTGGACATAATAGAAGTTAAATAGATTAATTATAGATTGGATTGTGATGAATTTTATTGCTCGTTAGTTGTTTGCAACTCTAATTGTGCAAACAGAATTTTTCCTTATCCTACTTATAGAATCTTCTTTCTTTGTTGTTTATAAAATGTTTTGCGCAGCTAGGTCTGTGACCATTATGTTTTATTTTTTATTTTATAGGAAAGAACTTGAAATCTTCAAAGGTAATTTTACTGTTATGTATTTTCCACTTGAAACAACATTAGAAACTAAAACTTAATAAAAACATATTTTACTTTTGATTTTATTTCATTTCAGGATAAAGCAACATAGTAATATGCTTCCCTCTGGGAAGAACAGTTCTGTATATCAGTTTTAGTTGTTATGATGTGAACAACTATCTTATTCTGCCTCTCTTATTCTTTTTGTTGCAGTAGAATACTGCTGATTTTTGAGTTGCTCAAAAGTAATTGTTGTGTTACTTATTACTTTGATACTGTCAGGAAGTTTTTACCATCGTTTTGTAGTGTGAGAATGTTCTAAAAATGCAAGAAAAATACTTTTTGGTTCCCCATGTGGACCATTCCAGTATTTTATCTTCAATTTACTTCTAAAAATACAGAAGAAAATACAGAACAGATGCTTGGAGTAGAAAAGCAGGAAGCAGGAAAACATCACCTTCCTCCCTTTCCCTCATGAATGGCCATGCCATCTCTAATTTACCACCCTTGTACTGCCTATTGCATGTTGGGCTATTTTAAAAGGCTGTCTTTCTTTTGTTGCAAGTTGCATGTATTATTTCATTATGCTATGTGCAAAAAGTTAAAGGGAATTGGAACACCTACTGTTAGACCTGCTGTTGCCTGTACTGAAGAAAGAAGTGGCATCAGCCCCACCAACCCATGTTAAAGAGTGTAGCACCCAAACTAGTCAAGTTATTTTGGCACAGGATGCTGAACCCCTGAACACTTCACATCTCTAGCAGGAGAAATAAGAATGTTTAGTAAGTTAAATAAACAATAATTGGTTACTTTTCATGAGACCTAAAATTTGCTGCCCAAGGTGAGGGAATGTTCACCTTGCATAACAACTGCCCACATCTTGGTATAAAAATTGTGTCCGTTACTACAATGTGTAGTGTGTGTGTGGATTTTCCATGAATTAGGCTAATTTATAGGAAACTTCACTGCCTCGCATTATAGTGATGGAATTTCTCATTTAAATCCAGCTTCCAGTCTTATAGATTAACTGTTTTCAAAGAGAGAACCTTGTTAATCTGTTTTGGTATGTATGAGAAAAACAAAAACTGAAATACTGTGGTGTCTTAGAGGCCTACTCAGTTGGTATAGCGGATAGAGTGACAACTAGGATTCAGGAGATCTGTGTTTGAATCCCCAATCAGCCATGGAAATTCACTGAAGTTGGCACTGGTAAAGCACTCCTTAAATATTTCATTTATCTTGAAAACCCTGTTAGGCTTGCTCGATGTCAGTTCCTACTTTACAGCACATAACATACAGAGAGGTCTAACTGATGTCTGCTGTTTGTTTTATTCCGTTATTTCATACCATTGTTGAGGCATGTGTGATGATATTGTGGGTCTGATTTCCTTTGTGTTACCTGCCAAGAGTACAGTGGTGCCTTGACTTAAGAACTTAATCCCTATTGGAACGGTGGCTGTAAGTCAAAATGTTCTTAAGTCAAAGCAGCATTTCCCATAGGAATGCATTGAAAACTGATTAATCCGTTCCGGCTGTTTTTTGTCCTTATGTCAAGGCATGGTTCTTAAGTCAAAGCATTAGTTCCGATAGGAACTAATGCAAAGCTGGTTAATCCATACTCTACCACTAGGGAAGATTTCTTTTTCTTTTGACCTAAGATGAATTTAGATAAAAAAGGGGCAGGGGAGGAGGGAGGGAACACCTTCTAATCACAACAACTTTAAAAACAAGCACCTTTTAAAGAAAGCCAAGCCAAGCACCTTTTAGGTAAAAAAAGGGCTGGGAAGGAGGAAGGGAGGGAACACCTTTCAAACAGAACACCTTTAAAACCAAAACAACCACCTTTTAGGTTTAAAAAAGGGAGGGAGGGAGGGAACACCTTTCAAACAGAACACCTTTAAAACAACAGAATACCTTGAAAAGCGCTTTTTCAGCCTAGCCGAGCCAAGTCAAGCACCTTTTAGATAAAGGGCAGGAAAGGAGGGAGGGAGGGAGGGAGGGAACACCTTTCAAACAGAACACCTTTAAAACAACAGAATACCTTGAAAAGCGCTTTTTCAGCCGAGCCGAGCCAAGTCAAGCACCTTTTAGGTAAAGGGCAGGAAAGGAGGGAGGGAGGGAGGGAATAAAGGGGAAAAGAGGGAGGGAATAAAGGGGAAAAGAGGAAAGAAAGAAGGTCATCACTGGGGCACAAAGACCCCTCAGACAAAGGTTTGTGCTGTTAAGCACAAAAAGAGAGAAGAGAGAGAGAAGATGGGGTGGGGGACAGAGCCTTGAGTCTACAGTAGGCTAAAACACATTTTTAACTGACACATTTTAACAACAGCATTTTTAAACCAAGCAACTTTTAAACAAAACACATTTTAACATGAAACAAGCAACTTTTAAACCCATCCACCAACACCTTTTAAAACAAAAGGGAGGCCACTTAGCTTTTGGTCTCTTCTGGAGGACATCACAGTGGCTTCTGGCTGGAGGATGGTGAGATGGTCATCGCTGCGAGGTAGAGGTCCCCTCCTCTGAGTCATCATCTCCAGGGGTTCCCTGTCACTGTCTCTTCGCTCCAGGTTCCATCCAGGTGAAAAATCTGTCCAATGTTGTCTGTTTTGTCCTGCGCTGCAGAATCTTTCTGAAGTGGCTGACCATGTTGTCATTCATCATGTCCAAAACTCTTCCTGTCACAGTCCTGTTTGGGTGGTGCCTCTCAAAGAACTGCTGGCGCTTGGTCCAGCTCTTTCAGATGGATCTTATCTCCTCGCTGCTAACCTGTGGTGCCTCTTCCTCAGTGGAAAGCTCCTTCACAATAGCCTTCTGCTGCTCAGTTTGCAGTTCTTCAAGTTCTTCTGTAGTCAATTCTTCGTGATCTTGAACCAGCTCCTCTACATTGTCCTTGTTGACATCCAGACCCATGCCTTCACCCATGGAAACGATGTCCCTCACCACCTGTGAATCAGTCCCCTCAGTGCCACTGTTTGTGACACATTCTGGCCACAGTTTCTTCCAGGCTGAGTTCAAGGTCCTAGTTGTGACATCTTGCCAGGACTTGTTGATGAGTCTGATGCTGTGGAAGATATTGAAATGTGTCCTCCAGAACTCTCAGGGTCAAGGATGTCTCCTCGATGATATTGAAGCATCTGGTGAAGAGTACCTTTGTGTACAGCTTCTTGAAGTTGCTGATCACTTGCTGGTCCATGGGCTGCAGAAGAGGTGTTGTGTTGTGGGGGAGGAACTTGACCCTGATGAAATCCTTGTTGATATCATCCACCAAGGATGGGGTGTGTGCCGGGGCGTTGTCCATCAGCAGAAGGCACCTCTCAGGAAGCTGGTTGTCCGAAAGATAATTCTTCACAGTGGGCGCAAAGACGTCGTAGAGCCATTCCATAAACGGCTGCCTTGTCATCCAAGCTCTTGAGTTGGCCCTACACATGACAGGCAGTGTGGCCTTGTTAACTTTCTCTCACTGGAATGGGCGAGGAGTCTGGGAGTGGTACACCAGCAGAAGCTTGATCTTCAGATCACCGGTGGCGTTGGCACAGATAAAAGGATCAATCTGTCCTTCATGGGTTTGTTGGCCTGGCATTTTTCTTCCTCTTGAGTGATGTAGGTTCTCCTGGGCATCTTCTTTCAGAACAGCCCTGTCTTGTCGCAGTTGAAGACTTGCTGGGGGAGGTAGCCTTCTTCCTTGATGAATTTGGCAAAGTCCAACTTGAAGGCTTCTGTAGTATCATGGTCAGAACTTGCAGCCTCCCCATGTCTTACAGCGCTGTGGATGCCACTTCTCTTTTGGAAATTTTGAAACCATCCCCTGCTGGCTTTGAATTCCTCACAAAAAGAGAGCATGGGGAGGGGTGGAGACCTGAGTCTAAGCTGCATTTTAAAGCCTGGATGCACCAACAACCAGCAAGCATTCTTCCAAAAATAAACATTGGAGCAAGTCCCACGTGGGACTGCAAACCCCCCACCAAAAAACAAAACACAGAAATGTAACACCCCCAGCCCAAACTGACCCTCCAAAACCCACCCAGATCAACTTTTTTAAAAGGAAAAAGTAGCACCTTACCAGTCGGAAGCCGCTGCAGAGGCTTCCTTGGCTTCCAGAGCAGCGGCACCCGACTGGATCTTCTTCCTCCTCCTTCGCTGCCATGAAGCCCCTCCGACCCGTGCCTTCGGCGGCTCTTACTCATGAGTAGACCCACACCGTCCTGCCTGTCCTTCTGTGCCCCAGGAGTAAAAATGTTCCCTAACAGCCTACTGTAACCATTGGGGCGAAAGAGCTACAAAGAAGCAGCCTCTTTGCCACCAATGGTTTGAATTTTCCACCTCTTCCCCCTGCCTTTTTCCGTTCGTAAGTCAAAGCTCCGTTTGTAACTCAGAGCAATATTTCGTGCCCGGAGCTGTTCGTAACTCAAAACGTTCGTAGGTCAGGGTGTTCGTAAGTCAAGGAACCACTGTAATGGGTTCCTAATAAGATGGGCAGTATATACCGTAAATCAAATAAATAAGCAAATGTCAGTGTTGAGTTTTTATAGACTGCAACTTCAGACACCATCTAGATTAGCTGGTACCATTTAGGTGACAGTGGCCAGAAGCCTATTGGGCTTTTACTCTGGAGTGAGTGAACATGCATGTATTCTTAGCAAAATGCAGCTAATTAACAAGGTATCAGTTGCGTATCTGGTCACATGACTAGACACAGTCAATATCTCATTAGTTTCATATTTGTTGTGGAATCCCAAACCGCAGAAGCCTCTGTGCTGCAAGGTTGGAAGACCAGCAGTCATAAGATCGAATCCACGCGACGGAGTGAGCTCCCGTCGCTTGTTCCAGCTCCTGCCAACCTAGTAGTTCGAAAGCATGTAAAAATGTGAGCAGATAAATAGGTACCACCTCGGTGGGAAGGTAATGGTGTTCCATGTCTCGTTGCGCTGGCCATGTGACCACGGAAACTGTCTGTGGACAAACGCTGGCTCTACGGCTTGGAAACAGGGATGAGCACCACCCCC